ATTTAACAATACATAATACGAGCAGAGGAAACGCCGACCTCCAAAACATAAGAGGTGGGATCAGGTGCCATGGAGGGGTGAGCATCTCCTGCCGACTGGTCCCACTTGCCATGTGCCCTTTGTCATGATAGGAAAATAACAGAAAAATCCAACGTGAACTCAGTATATAAATAAATGACTAACAATTAGTATGAAAAATGGCAGTCAGCATTTGACTCAATGATATATTGTATTTGCTGACAAGGTCATTCTATCGACCGTAAAACGTACGATTTATTGATTGATTGTATTTTGTTTAACGTCCCTCTCGAGAATTTTTCACTCATGAAGACGCCACCACTTGCCGGTGGCGAGCTGCCAATTTCGTCCTATGCTCGGCACTCAGGGCCATTAAGCTGGAAGGGATCTTTTTCGTGCAAGAAGCTGCTGAGACACGGGACCTCGGTTTTACGGTCTCATCCGAAGGACCGGTCTCAACGTCCCACAGTGGAATTCGAACCCACGACGTAAGGATTGACTACTTACTCCGCGATTCTAGAGCAGACACTCTAACCACTGCGCCACGCCGGCGACATAAAACATACGAAGTGATGACTTTAAACGAGATTGCTGATATTCTTGTTTCCTCAACGTGTTTGTTAATAATTTCTCTCGTTTTACAAAATGAACATACGTAGAGCATGTCTATAGCAACAGAGAGATTTAAACCTCGTATACAGGTTGGTAAAGGTGTAATGCTGCATAAGTAAGGGAAGTTGACAACTGAAAAGTTAAAGTCATAACGTTTATCATAGGGCTTAGCTGTTAGCTATAGATTTTAATTGACGTTTTTTTCCTTCAAGCAAAATATCCAAATGTGAAACAGAAATTTTTAAGCTGTTGATTTTCCTAAAAGTTTGTAATCTTAAATTTCCCAAAAGTTCCTTTGAACTTTTAGGTATCTACATCTGTTTTGCACAACTTTTCGAATGCTAGTATACTAGTATATTGCTATACAATAAGTTTCTTCATCAGTACTAGTACAGGTAATATCTAAGTGAGAAGAAAAGAGAGTTATTTGGTTGAACATTTACTAGAAACCCTCTTTTTATCCTTCTTTTGTTTATAAAGTTTTAGGATCAAATTTGGATAAAGTAATTTCAATTCATTTTAATTGTTTGGGATATTTTGAATATAAAAAATGACATATGATTTTGAATAAAGGAAATACAATCTTTAGCCTCTAATTTGAAACATAGTGGAATACAAGACTGGGCCGATTATGTGATTAGGAATATAAGTAATAGGAGGAAAAATTAAAATAAATAAAAAAACAGGAGAAAATCAATTTTTATTACCAAAGAATAATTATATAAAGAAATTGGAAATTTATGAAAATCTAAGGTTAAACAAAAAATTACATGGCTCCATAAAAACCAATTTCTGACACATATGGAAAAAGATGCATTATGTTAAGTTTCTTTGATAGCAAACTACGAAGGAATTAGATGTTAACAAACAGATATGGAAGTCAAATATATTTCTAACAATTTCAAGAAAAGCAGGGATTTGGATCTCCAAGAAAATCATTGATGTGATTCGGTTGGAAACAAGGCTTTCTGGCAATGTTTGTGACCTGCAAAAAGAGTCAAATAAAGGAATGTACAATAAAATTTTCTAACTTCATATATAAGATACTGAGGAAAACAGATGTAATGAGTTGATCCTTTACCATGCACTCATACTGACCTTGACTACTCTTAACATTATGTATAACAGTCACATAGCATCGGAAGGGGGTAGCTCCTTCACTTTTTCTAAACATAATATCTTTTACGAGGGTTTCGGAAAGAACTGTTGACAACAAGACCTCCCCCGCCGCCCCCCGTTTGTTGCAGTATAGTCAAATAGGGGTAATGTGCATTGAAAGAAAATTGTGTACAGAAAGAATCTGGACATTCCTACTCCCCCATTCCTCCCACTTATAGGATTTCAAGTAGGATTTTCGAGTTTACATCAAGTTTTTGCTTCCTAACTTTTTCAGGTTTTTTGATTTTTTAAAATTTAGCTTTTCCATCTTTCAAAAGCGATGCTACCTTACTGTGTGATCGAATCAAGCTATTCAAATATTTTCATTTTTTAAAAAATATGTTTGCAAATTATAAAACGCTTCTCACATTTCTGAAGCATATCTTTGGTGGAATAAAGACAGATGGATCTTTGATTCCCATTGTCGAGTTGTAAAAGATGTACAAAAACTGTCCATCTGTGAAGAAAAAGAAACGTAAATATATTGAATTGTAGGTTTGAAAACAATTGCTGTTTCAAAACTAGAAATTTAAGGAAAGTTTTACCTGGTTGAGGAATCTTGGATGAAAATCCTCCCATTTCTACATAGGTACAGTTTAATCCGACTCTGTAGAAAATTGTGTAATTATTCTGCGACATCATATAGGTATCCAAGTTAATAACGTTGGGAAGTACTCCCATGAATGATTTCTGTACAAGTTTAGCTTTTCAAGGCAATGAATTTACTACGATAAAAAACAATGATGAATCTCATCAATACTCAGAACGTTATGTTAACATTGCAAAATCAGTCGGATCTCTGCAAACATGGTGGAATTAGCTGTCTAAAAGAAGTAAACATCCCCATGTCATTGATTGCACCCGCCATGGTCTTTATGTTTTGAACCGAATTCCCCAGTCAAATCCTGCGCAGAAGCCAAAAGTATCAAATTGTGTAAAATATGTCAATTCACCAATAGTGTGTATGTCAATAATAGGGTTATTTTACAAGCAAGGTCATGATAATGAACGTAGAATTTGCGAGAAGCTGACGTTGATTTTTGAATTGTAGTTGTTTTTGTCAATAAATAGCCGCGATTTAAAAAACGGCCTATATAAAGCATGGTCATGTCTATTGTAGAGATGGAGGTAAATAGACTATTTTCTATCGACAGCGTCCCTTATTATGTAGATATATCCTAATATTTACATACCAATAAATTTCCCTTATGGGTCTTTACTAAAAAATGCAGTTTATTTTCTCATGAACACATTACGTATGTACCACGAATAAGCATGAATATCTCCATTTTTACGTCATTATACCTCTCGACGTCAAAAAATATAGTATACACTCTTTTGCTTTAAAACTGACAGCTGAATGGGGGTAAATTTACGCAAGTCTTCAGAAAAATAATGTAAATATACGAAATTATTTTAATTGTGAAGATTCATGAAGCATCATAGTTTTTGATTAATAGTTCATTACCTCATGAATTTTATGTTTCGGAGAGGAATTGAAACACAAAAGCATTCTCTACATACAAGCACTTTCTAAAAAAGTTCATGATACCAGGACTACAACAGTTTCGTTTGAATTAGACATTTTGCATATTCTATGGTCGATGCAATGATTTTTGCGCCTTAATTTTCAGTAATTTTTCTTTTGCCCAATTTTTATTAAGGGCACAAGGCTAGGTGACTGGTAGACAGGTTATGTTTACTCCTCCGTGGTACCTAATGCTACGTCTTATTTAGAGGCCAGTTTTCCCTCTATTAAAATTCATAATGTTTGATTTTTTTAAGTTCATTTCTTTATATTATTTTCTGATGAAATATCAAAAAAAAAAAGAATTACAGAATAAAATATGTTTCCTTTATAACACATCTCGTACCATGGTTGTTTTCCCCCATTATATAACAAATATACACACACAGAGAGAGAGAGAGAGAGAGAGAGAGAGAGAGAGAGAGTCCAAAAATTATATAAGTTTAAGTATAGATAGTATATAGTGACCTGGAATACATATATTGTAAAAGGCACCGCTCGGAGATACTTGGCAAGTATTCCGATTCCAGCTATATACTTTGCCCTGAAAAACAAAAATTCATACATCTAATTTTTTTCTGTTGATTCATTATATTTCTCAATTCTTAAAATATTTTTATGGATGATATACACTGTACTTTCTTAAATTAATAAAATTTCTTTAAAAGACTTTCTCAAAAATAATTGAAAGGTTCAAGGTTCAAATTTCATGAGAGAATGGAAATATTATATATCTTGTATTTTATATATCGCTACATTATTATATGTACAATGTATGTATAAAAAAAACAACATCTTCAATCTTTTCTTACTGAGCAATCTAAACATAATTATCAAGTCAGTCAATGGAATGTACGACCATTTAGTGAGATGTTAGACCGCATTAACTATGACGTCATTCACGTCAGGCATAACTTGGATCCCCTAAATTTGATAAAGCAAAGAAAAATCTAAATATAAAGATCTCTGGAACGTCAAACGTTCCCATTCTTAAGAATGAATATTTGTAGATATCGAACAGTTCATTCGATATGCAAGGGCTTGCTCTATGTATTAATAATTTTTAAAACGAGGCGATAACGAACGGTATTCAATCTCAAAGTCCATAAACAATACAAAATAGGAGCAGAGCAATAAATATTAAAACATAAGAGTTTGGATAAGGTACCATAGTAGAGAGTTTAACATAATCCTTAAATGTTTTTAAAAGTATATTTTATTTAAATCGTGATCGTGCATTGATCGTTTATCTTGTAGAAAAAAGGTAATATTGTCTCACCATGAGATTCTAAGAAAAATGAACTTTATAACTTACTGCTGCGAAATCTTGTATACTGTTGAATTCGTTTCCCTCAGGCTGAGTAAGATAAGTATTTGCAAATTTACGGGCCTTTGCATCGTAGGAAAACATCTATGACAGACAATGCAGTTATTATTTATAAGCTTTTATAAGAATCTAATAAAAATCTTATCATAATTGTACTTCGTCGATAAATACAAGTATCAATTGAAGAATTCCTGAAAATACATTTTTGTGTGACAGTTATCGTCTAATAAAGTTTGGTCTACACATGTTGTTCTGCTTAAATTTGCTAAAATTTGAATATTTACTGATATTTAATGGCAATATATGTATATATTGTTATAAATATTGTAACAGTTATAAGTATTCTTATCACCTTACCATTTGCGTGAATCTTTTTTCCTGTGGGCTCCCTGAGAGTGACGTCAAAGCATCCGTGTATGTCTGACCCTGGAGGGGCAGACAACACTTAGAGACGACCCCAGGGACTACAGATACGGAAACTCCGACAAGAAGGAGGTAGCCGATCATCTCAGATGAACTGTTATGTCTGCTCATTTCAGTATCAAATGATCACAGAATAACTTTCACGTGTTTTATTGGTAATAAGTAGGCGTTTTAAATATTTCCCTCTGAAATGTATTACCACCTTCTCAAATTTCACGAGGAAGTTCTTCCTTCTTTGTTTCATCATCTTCCGTGATAATAAATTATGACATCTCTCATTGATTTGCCGCAAAAAAGAACTACCGTGTGAAAAATTTAATTTGCTGAAGAAAACTGCACTGGTTGTTTTCTTTTAAAAGGGAAAAAAAAATAATGACACGAAACATATTTCGGTTTACAGGGAGTTTTTATTTCAGAGGCGTAGCAACAGGGGGGGGGGGAGGGGGCCAGGGGGGATGTTTTTTTTCCCAACCATACTTATACTACAGGAAATGTTAATTGAAAGCCTAGGTGCCCCCCACCTTAGACTTCTAGTGATATACCGAAAAGGTTAAAAGGTTAAATTAAAATTGGTACTAAAAGTAGTTGAAACTGAGAAAAAAAGTTTACCTATACATAACCCCCCCCCCTCCCCCCCACCCCACGGAATAGGATTTTCGACTTTGGGCAACTTTTTCCTTTTTTTTAAATTTTTTTTTTACTTGTCAACTTTTTCAGGTAAGTAAAAAAAAATTTCTCAATGGCTGCCCCCCCCCTCCCCCACTTTCAAAAACGATGCTACGCCACTGTATTTATCAGCTAAAAATATGGATTTTTTTCTCTATATCACCTAGTCCCCTTACCTTTATAATAAATATATTCTAAAATTAAAAGACTCTCCTTGTTTTCTTTGTAATATTTACAGAATACAATGAATTGAAAGGCTTAAAGGTTCAATTTTTCATCAGATAGATACGTCACCAAATACCTATGAAAGGCTTATTTTTTAAATCTATAGTCGGCACTCAGAGCCACCATTATTATACGTGACATATGACCTCGATTAAAAAAAATCCACAACTTTCACTTTAAGTGGTAAGCGCATGGCAAAGGGACATTTGTTATCCAACTTCCAGATTACAACAAGAGCGCTCTATCGACTGAGCTACCGTGAGCGGTAAAAAAAGCATTTGAAAAATGTAGAGATATGTGAATATATAGAATAGTATACAAGTTTAACAGTACAAAATTGGAGCGGAGCAAGGTAGGATCAGGTAACATGTAGAAGTGAACATCACCTATTGACAAGTCACATTAGTCATGTGCTCTTTGTCATGATCGATAAATATCGTTAAAAATCCTCGGACAACTCAGTGTATAAATAATGGCCTAAAATCAGTATGGAAAAGAAAAGTTAATCAGCATTTGACGTAATGAAAAAAAGATCTGCGAACGATTGTTTTGTTCGCCCTCCTTTATGTATCCAAAGTCTTTTTTTATAGTGAACACATTTGACAGATTTTTTATATTGATATTTATATAAAATTTCATTAATCATTAATTATTTAGGATAACCACGAAAGATAACTCTAAAAATTTAGTTCAACTCATATTTTTCACTACAGAAATCAATGAAAAACGGAAAATATTTTTAAATTGCCCCCCCCCCCCCCCCCCCCCCCCGTGAAACTAAACAAATATCATTTCCCGGGGGAGCACTTGTTTATAGACAAAAAACGACAATTATTTTCATTTTATGCAATGTCCATGCGGTTTACAATTAAAACATTATATTTTACCAATATAAATTACAGTGGATATTTAACGCTTTGGTTATCAATTTTTTTAAATGAACCACCAGTTTATAACATCTGAAAATTCTTTAAATATACAGAAAGATATTGAAGGTCCACTGTATATTTTTAAATTTTATATGCTTTAAATATACAGAAAGATTGAATAAAATTTCAATAATATCCAGCAATATACCTTTATCACCTGTGTAAAGAGTTTATATAATGATACAATGTATTTGCCGACAAGTTCAGTGTATCGACCATAGAACTTACGAAATTGTGACTTTAAAATGCGACTGCTGAAATTCTTGCCTCAATAACTTGTTTGTCAAGAATTTACCTCGCTTTAGATATTGTTCGTAGGTAAAACATGCTCTTGCATAGCAAAGTAACTGAGAGATATTGCGGGTGATGAAGGTAAGGAAAGTTGACGATAGAAAAGCTAAAGCTGTCACGTTTATCATACAGCTTGGTTGTTTGATTACCGTTAATGTCTGTTTCAAATAAAATATACGAATATGAAACCGGTGTGTCAGACTCTGTGATATCTTTTATCTATAAAGCTCACCACCAGGATATTTCTTATTGACATAAGAGTTGAAATTTTCATTATTTAATGACAATACCTCGTCGATATATCTAAAGTTGAAGGCCACAGCAAGAGTGTTATTCTGTTCACGCATAAGGATTTGCAGAAATTCTGCTCAATATGAATACAAACTAGGGTTGCTAAAAGAGAGACATAGAAAGATTTTAAAAAAGTGTTTTAAAGCGTGGTATTTTTTTCCAAAGAGTGGCTCCTGCAAATCTCAATCCTTAGATCTTAATTTTCAGTTTTGCTCATTTCTTTTTTGTTCCTTTTTATTAATCTGTTTATTTATTTATTTTTTTTTTTTGGTTTTGTTTTCCTGCTCAAAGTTTATTTTGTTTTGTTTGTTTTAAAGTGAGTAATCTTAGTTAACATAGATTTATAGCATTAAAAGTATACTTTTAACTGAACAAATTTGTTTTATTTTTATCACAATTTTTATCAAATACATGAATCATAGACTATTCTTTTAGAGCATTAGTGCTATTTGGACAGTCATTTATATTTATTTTCTGTGTTTGTCTTATTTATATGCATGATATATGTGCTTTCTGTGTCGTTTTGTGTGTGTATGTGTAAATATGCTTGTTGTGATGCATGACAGTGTAATCCTAACTGTTTTATATGTGTATATAGTTATTTATAATATGTAGTACTAAAATAATGCCGGTCAAAAGCTCTACAGAGCTTAAGTTTCTGTTGTAATCATCCGACTCAAAATAAAATTTTCTGATCTGATTTCTGATTTCTGATGTCAAGGAAAGTATAAAAACTTGGCACACATAGATGATGTTATAAAGACACAACCCTTTAAAATTATATCTAAGTTATAATCTGGTACATGTTGCCTTTTTCATTATAGTTTGAACACCAACAATGCAATTACTTAGTGGAATTGGAATTTCATTCGGCATTGAAAGTACACAGTATTAAGCATGGTAATATAAATACTCAATTATAGTGGTGTGAACTTTTGTAGAAAATAAAAATTATTATACAAAAATACCAAAGAATTCACTACACGATTATCTTTTCTTTAAAAATATTGTCCATATTAGTTTACAGTGTAGTCCGTTGTCCCATTGCTCTTAGGAAATTCATTCTTCTTAGATGGTAAATTAAATTTCATTCTTGGTCTTTGGATGGTCAAAGACAATACTTGTAGTTCTAACATGTATTATTATGTTCTTAAAATTTAAATTTAACCCGTATTGGAAATTTGAATTAAGTTTTAATTTATTTTGTTAAATTTCACAAAAGTTTTGTATACACTGATTTATATCAAACTAATAACATCTTTTAAAAACATATGCAGTCAAAGATGATTATTATAAAAAATATGAGCTGATTCAAGTAACTATTATTTCTTTTGTCTCTGCTGAAATGAAAATTACTCTATGAATAGTCTGTAGCCCAGGGCTCCAAATAGTCAATTCTTCTTCAATAAAAATGAACTCGTAAATTTACTTACCTCATCATTGGTCATTTGCAAAATTATTTTGTTAAAACAGATTCTGATTGCACACATAAGTACTCTGAAGTACACATCAAGAAGATGCTTGAGTTTCTGATTGACAACATCTATGTGGTTTTTGGAGACCAGGTATTCCAACAGTCTATTGGAATTCATATGGGTACATATTGCGCTCCGTTATAAGCAGACTTATTTTTATATTCATATGAAGCAGAATTTATGCAAAATTCTATGCGTGAAAAGAAGAAAAAACTTATTGTGGCCTTTAACTCGACATTTAGATATATCGACGACGTATTGTGAATTAATAATGGTAATTTCTGTTCCTACGTCGATACGTTAAATCCTGGTGAGCTTGAAATAAAAGATACCACAGAGTCCGAACTTCTGTTGCATACTTGGATATTTTACTTGAAAAAGACACTCATGGTAATCTAACAACCAAGCTATAATTATGATAAACGTGATGACTTTAACTTTTCTATCGTCACCTTCCCTTACTTATGTAGCAATGTACCTTCATCCCTGGAGTATATATATCTCAGTTGATTCGATACGCAAGAGCATACTCTGCGTATGAACAATTTCTAAAACGAGGCAAATTATTGACAAGCAAGTTGACGAAACAAGAATATCAGCAGTCTTGTTTAAAGTCATCATTTTGTAAGTTCTATGGTCGATATAATGACCTTGTCAGCAAATACAGATTATCATTGAGTCAAATGCTGACTGACGTTTTTCATTCCAATCGTTAGTCCATTATTAATACACTGAATTGACGAAGGATTTTTTCCGTTATTTCCTGATCATGACAAGGAGCATACGGCGGGTGTGACCGGTCGGCAGGGGATGCTCACTCCTCCATGGCACGTGATCCCACCTCTGATGTTTCGGAGGTCCGTGTTTGCTCTGCTCTTATTTTGTATTGTTTTATGGACTTTGAGATTGTATACTGTTCGTTATCTCCATATCCTAAATTAAAAGTACCCGACATAATTTTGTTCTCTGAATATTGCCAAATACGTTTGAAGTTGTTCTCACTCCATATACATTTGCTTAGAAAATTTGAACATACTTTAAATTATTTTTTTTCGAAATGCCATAATATTAGGGGTAGAAAAATTCTGAGAGATAAGCAGATTAAACCATGTAAGATTTTTAATGGAAATGACTTACTTTTATAGTATGTGATTTTTTTTGCCCAGACAATATTATGTGAAGAGTTTGTATCTGAATTATACATTTTTGTTCAGTTGAAATAAATGTTATACGTGAATATGTATAGTCCATAGTCCAATTGGTTTGATTTTGTTACAGCTAAAGAAAATTGACGGAAATGGACAGAAATTTCAGACAATCTACCATTATTCATTTGAATTAATTTTTTTGGTCAATCTGCAACCAACGTGGGCATCTGATCTCGGCCAAGCCGATAAAAATTGAATAGAAAATTTAGCCTTAGTATAAAATCAATCTGTAGGTATTCTTAATCTAAACTAAATAATTAAATGATAGGATGTTATTTAACCTACATTTGAGAACTTTTCACTCATAAAGTATATATGTAAAGGGCTTCCAATACAGTCCTTGACATGGCCCTCAGGGCCTTTCAGCAGTGAGGGTTTTAACATGACATCAGACCTAACTTTAATATTTTAGGGTTCACCCAAAAGACTCAAGACTTTCTCTTCTTCGGTCGCTTGACAAGGAAGGATAATATCTAATATTAAACACGGCGAGCCTAACGGGAATCAGTGCTGGGCCTTCCAATCATGAAGCGAGTTCTTTAAGATTTCATCAAGGTAGTTATTTACCACTTAAGACATTTTTTTTTATTTTTTCCTCAATTAACATAGCAATGTATCAATTACATCATACACAAGTTTTGAATAGTAAAATATTACTTTCATATGATGGTGCATTAGCTATTTTGTCTAGCGTATAATAGAAAATTTGCATTCTTACAAATTTTTGTATGAGCTATTACAAATATTATTTTATGAACATATATGCATAACTGACATAAGATTATCATGAGAGGCTTGGTTAAACATTTACTTGAAACCGCTATGATGTAGATTTCAACAAATCAGACAGGAAAGGCAAATAAATTTCTATTTTAAGGGAAGCAGGGATTTGGATCTCCAAGAAAATTATTGATGTGATTCGGCTGGAAACAGAGTTTTCTGCCGATTTTTGTGACCTGCAAAGAAAGTATAAAAGAATATAAATTATTAATAAGATACTGTGGAAAACAGATAAAAGTAGTTGCTGTCTTTTATCATGCACTCACACAGAACACTATATATAAGAGTCACATAGCATCGGAGGGGAGATAGCTCCTTCACTTTTATCAAAATATAACATTTTAATTTTTAAGATGCTCTCGGAAAAACGGTTGCACCCGCCCTTTTCTTGCAGTATAGTAAATCAATATAATATATGGAAAATTTTTGTACTGAAAGAAGTTGGACCTTTCTCCTCCCCCATTGATCTCACCCCCTACGAAATAGGATTTTCGATTTTACACAATGTTTTTCCTAGTCAAATTCTTTCAGGTATGTTAATTTTTTTTGTCTAGCTCTTCCACCTCTCCCCACCTTCATAAGCAATATCACGTGGAGGTATAAATCAATCAAAAATAAGATTCATGTGTACGAAAAATATTTGCAAGTAAAAAAAAACAACAATTCTCACATTTTTGAAGCACATCTTTGGTGGAATAAAGACAGATGGATCTTTGATTCTCAATGTCGTGTTGTAAAAGAGAAACAAAAGCTGCCCATCTGTGAATAAAAAGAAAAGAAAGGTATAATAAATTAACAGTAAAAAAGTTTGTTGTTTTTATACGATTGTTTTCAGACATTTAAGGACAGTTGTACCAGGTTGTGGAATTTTGGACGAAAATCCACCAATCTCAACATGGGTACAGTGTAACCCAACTCTATAGAATAGTGTGTAATTATTCTGCGACATCATGTAGGTATCCAAGTTTATAATGTTGGGAGACACTCCCATGAAAGTTTTCTGTACCAGCTTAGCTTTAGCTGAAAAACACGTAATTGCAAAATAATTTATGTTCATTCGCCTATCTTAATTATAAGAAGATACTTTTTCTCAAAGCAATAAATCGACTAAGATGAACGAAAATGCTTAATCTCATTGATACAGTAACATAATAACGTTAAAATTCCGAAAACAATCGGAACTCTGAAAACACGGCGGAATACGCTGCCTAAAAGGAGTAAACATTCCCTGTCACCGATCACACCCGCCATAAGCGTTGTGTATTGATCAGTTATCAGAATTCCCCAGTCAAATCCTGTACAAAAGCCATACGTAACAGATGGTATGAAATATGTCAGACGAAATACAAGTCAACAATAGGACAATAGGGTGTATTTTTCAAGCAAGGCCATGATAAGGACCACAGATTTGTGAAAAGCTGACATTGATTATTAAAATCATTGTAACATTTATTTGTCAATAACAAACATCGGTTCAAACACTGACCTATTTAAATTATCTTTTTGTTGTAAGGATGGAGGTAAATAGACTTTTCTCTATCGATAACTTCCCTTTAACTTTTCTATCGTCAACTTCCCTTACTTATGCAGCAATATACCTTCATCACCTGCATACGGAGTATTTATATCTCAGTTGATTCGATACGCATGCTCTACGTATGAAAAAATTCTTAAACGAGGTAAATTATTGACAAGCAAGTTGATGAAACAAGAATATCAACAGTCTCGTTTAAAGTCATCATTTCGTAAATTCTATGGTCGATACAATGACCTTGTCAGCAAATACAATTTATCATTGAATGAAATGCTGACTGACGTTTCTCATACCAATTGTTAGTCCACTATTTATACACTGAATTGACCACGGATTTTTTCCGCTATTTCCTGATTATGACAACGAGCACACGGCGGGTGGGACCGGTCGGCAGGGGATGCTCACTCCTCCATGGCACCTGATCCCACCTCTGATGTTTCGGAGGTCCGTGTTTGCTCTGCTCTTGTTTTGTATATTTGTTTAATGGACGTTGAGATTGAATACTGTTCGTTATTTCCATATCCTTCATTATTACATTGAAACAAGGTTAAGTTTCAAAGTGAAATTGAAACACGAACGTATTCTCTACGTATACAGAAGAACAATTTTTAGAAGAGGACCACTATGGACAAAGAAGTTGATTTTAGGAGAAAAACAACTGTTTCGTTTGAATTCAACAATTCTTAAATTCTTCAGAAATACAATTTTTTGCCTTATTATTCAAATATTATTTAAAACGTATTCCCCCAATTTCTTACTCCAAGGTACAATATGCTTAATGACTGTCCGAAAAGTTATTTTTACTCATCCATGGTAACTTATCCCACCTCTTTTTCATAAATCAGTCTTCTGTTTTTTGAAATTCGTTATGTTGGAAGGATTTTATTTATTGGGTTTATTTCTGCATACTATCTTCTTGCTTAATACCAAAAACAATGTTTACACAGTTTTCTTGCGTGGCATCTTGTATAATTCACCGTTCACGGTAGCTCAGTCGGTAGAGCGCTCGCTCAGTGATAGTGAGGTCGTGACTGACCCGATAAAATGGGTAGCAACTGTTCTTTCGCCATGCGCTCGGCACTTTGAAGTACAAGTTGTGGGTGAGACCTTAAAAACCGAGGCCCTGTGTCAGCGGCAGGCGTTGGCACGATAAGGATCCCTATCTGCTCAATGGCCCTGAGTGCAGAGCAAAGGTCAAAATTTGAAGCCCTTTACCGGCATACGTTGACGTTTCCGTATGAGTGAAAAATTCTCGAGAGGGACGTTAAACACTCTACAATCAATCAATCAATCAATCTTGTATAATTCTTGTCATACGAATCTAGTTTTTTATCAGAATATTTAACAACAAATACAGAGATATATAGAAAGATATAAAGAGATAGAGAGAGACAGAGAGAGATAGAGTGAGAGAGAGTGAGAGAGAGAGAATTATGTCAGTAAAACATTATATATTAGTTTAAGCATATGAAATATATTGACCTGGAATGCATATATTGTAAAACGGACCACTCTGATATACTCTACAAAAGTCCCGATTCCAGTTATAAGATTTGCCCTGAAAAACAATATATTGATATAGTTTTGTTTCATATCTAAGCATGCGGGAAATATTTCTTTGAATGAGATAAACTATATTTTTTTTAAAAAAATTTAAATTTCAATTTAAAATCTTTTCTTTAAAAGATCTATGATCAATAAATTAAAAGTGTCTAGGTTCAGCTTTCATCAGAGAATAGAAATATTATATATCTTATACCAGTATTCTATAAATTGCTACATTGATATATGTATCTGTAAAGAAAAAAAAATGAATCTTTTTACTGAGCAACCCAAGAAATCAGTATTAAGTCAATCGATGAGATATTAATAAGATGTCGGATAACATTGACTGTGACGTCATTCTTGTAAGGTCTAGCTGGGATCACCTATATTTGATAATGCAATGTAACATCTTAACGAGACCCGATCTAGTTAGACTGCGCATACGTTCTAGCGCAGCGTAGACTTAGGCACGTCACAGTACCCTTGACTGCCGTCACAATTGAACACAATAACGTCACAATTAAGATGACGTCAAATTGCGCTAAAATGTTTCACTGAACTTGCATACCTGGTACATGTAAGCTGTTATTTCTTTTATTAACATGTTTTTTACAAATATTTTTTTTAAGTTAATAAACAACCTTGGAACATGATTTATTTTGAGGTATTTATTTCTTGGTACATATTCATTAATTTTTCCTTGCTTTATTTCGATTTGCATGTGAGTTGAAAAAAAACACTGCACCAAAAGTAAATGATTTTGTCTTTCTCCTTGAACGTGTTGAAGTTTTTATACACACACATTTTTGAAGAGGACTTAAATATGCATGGATAAGCTTTATTTAAAAAAAAAATCAGTCTACGAATCATTTAAATGCTACCCTCAAAATATTTTATTTTTTCTATATATTACATTTTATTAGTAAAATTCGTCATTTGTCGCCTTTTACCCCCCTCCCCCTTTTCATTATATGTATAACAACGTCGAGTGTAAAGGGAAAAAAGAGAAAAATTTGCAAAATGTAAGAATTATTTATTTTTTAGAAACTAATAAAGTATTGCAATGGTTTGGTGTTGTTATGTACAGCCATGGCGACTTATTTCATATCTAGTTGAATAAAATAAGTCCTAATTTTGTGTTTTGATACGGCCCCTTTTCACTGCAATAAAGGTTACCTTCAATTTTCTTTTCATTTTTATAAGAAGAATAAAAATTGCATGATATATGTGAAAAACAAAACATTTCACCCTGTATTTTTTTTATTTTCAATTTCTTTGCTTTTTTTGGATAGTTTTACTATGTAATTGTGTATAAAATGACAAAAAATGGTCCATATCTTGACAGTGCCCCTATTTGACTACAATAAAGGCAAGGTAATAAAATTTCATTGTAATTTTTTTAAGCATAATTCATACAAAAATATTTCCAAAAATTAATTTTTTTATCATTCCGTTTTCGTAATTATAATATTCAACTAGATCGGGCCTCGTTAATATGAAGAGCTCTGCGACGTCAAACGATATTCTTTCTTCCCCGTTCCTTTTCCTTTAAATAAATATGTGGAAAATATCGAACAGTTTTCAAGCTCAGTAGCTTGATAATGTTTAGAGAGGTCATATCAAGATCGTACTGTTTGGCGATATTTATTAGCATGTCTAGTTTTATATTCATATGAAGCAGAATTTGTGAAAAATCTTTTTCATGAAAAGAAGAAAACACTTGCTGTGGCCTTTCCACTCGACATTTAGATAAATCAACGACGTTTTGTCACTTAACAAAGGTATGTTCCATTCCTAAATCGATACGATATATCCTGGTGAACTTGAAATAAAAGATACCACGACACCTGACACAACCAATTCGGTTCGGGAGGAAAACAAACACAGAAAACAAAGGTGGAATCAGCTGCAGATACGAGTGAGTATTCTCTGCTTATCAGTCACACACGTCACCTGTTTTTTTTGTTTTGATTAGGAAAAAGTGGGGGCGTTAAGAATTAAGTCTGTAAATAAATGCCTAAATATTTGCATAAAAAATGTCAGTAAGTACATAAATAAATGATAGGTTGTAAAAAAAATGTCAATAACGAACAGTAATCAAGTTCAAAAGTCTAATCAACGATACAAAATAGGAACAGAGCAAACAAAGACCTCCGATACACCAGAGGTGGATCAGGTGCCATTGAGAAGTAAGCATCCCCTGCTGACCGGTCATGGTGCGCTTTTTGTTACTCATACCTGGCACCTAATCCCACCTCTGGTGTTTTTGTTTTCCGTATGTATTCTGCTTCCGATTAAAATTGTTTAAATAGACTTCGAGCTTGAATACCGTTCATTATCTCCATATTGATATATTTTTCATATCAATTTTTAAAACCATTTTCTAGGGATGTGAAATCATTTTTATTCAAAAGTTTATTGGCATATATGGTCTGTTTGCATATAATGTCCATAAGGTTTGATTTCCGTAAATCATTAATTTACCTGAGCAAAAAAACATCGGTTTTGATCCAAATTTTTAAATCCACATTTATGGAAAAGAAACACAAATCTTCGCTGTTATTTATCATATTTGAAGCCCTTTTTCAGTTTAATGTAATTATGGAGTTGTGATTTACTTTATCTAAGTTTGAGTACTAATAGAACTTTGAAATAGAAAAAAATGCCTTTTTTGTGTGAATATATACGCAGAAATATACAAGGAAAAAAATTGTTTAAGTGAAGCACGAATAAGGCGACTGATATGTAATCAAAAATTAGCCAGCAAAATATAAAGTACTGATTGTACACAGGTAATATTTGAATGTGAACATAAGGAATGTTTTCACAATGCGTGAGTTTAACTGTGTTTAAATCACACAGGTTTGCTCTCGAATTACATAATTTCTAAGACGCGGAAGAATCTAAAATAATCTTGAAATGATTTTTTTTAATTTACATTTTATTGAAAATCGAGAATCGTACACCGTTTATCCCGTAGGAAATAAGCGACATTTCCTCACCATGATATTCTAAGAAATAGAAACCTTATAACTTACTGTGGCGAAATCTTGTATAATGTTGACCTCGTTTCCCTCAGGCTGAGTAAGATAAATGCTAGCGACTTTAAGGGATTTGGCATCATAGGAAACCATCTATTAATGATAAGCAGTGCAGTTTGTTTTTGTATATTAACTTGTATCATAATTATAAATGTACTCCGAATGATAATATTAGTATTAACTCTGTACAATGTATCAAGAATACATTTTGTTTCTGCAAGTAATCTTGCTATTACGTTTAGACATTATGCATATTTCTGTTACATTTCACCGAATTTTTCACGTTTTATTGTCTTTTAAGTAATTGCATGTATATAACATAAATAATACTGTTATCACCTTACCATTTGTTTAAATCGTTTTTCCTTTGGGCTCCCTGACGTCATTACGTCCATGTATGTCTGGAACTGGTGTGGCATACAACAACTGGAGACGGCTCCAGGGACTACAGACAAGGATACTCCAACAAGAAGAAGGTAGGCGATCATCGTTTTAGGTCTAGAAGTATGGTTGAGTTACTCTTTGTATGTTTAAGTAAGCCTGTGATCACAGATTAAACAAAATAATGTGCTTTATTGCTTGTAAAGATGGGTTTTCAAATATTTCCCTCTTAAAGGTATTATCACCATGGCAGATTTCTCGAGGAAGTTCTTTCTTCTTTTTTTTCATCATCTTGCATGATCAAGAAGAAAAAATAATACGACAGAGTATTTATTTTGAGGGAATTATTGCTTTGCCTCTACAAAGTAATAATTTGGTTCAGAAAAATTGCACTCGATGTTTACGTGCTAAATTTGATTATGCAAAATTTATTTTTATTTCCAAGAGATCATTAAATTATCGATCATTTTATGGATTTCTTTCTTGATATCAACTTGTATTCTTAGTTTGCTGAATAAAACCGTAAAATACTTATGGCTGGTTGGCTACCTATCAAGCAGGGTAAGTACAGCTTAGCCGTTAGTCTGGGGATCACGAAAGTCGGGTTTTAACGCTAGCTTTGTCGGGTTTACTTGAGACGTAAATCTGCTATACGCTATATAACTGATTATGGCTATCCTAACTTTTCTATCATTAAATGCTCTTACTTATTCACCAATATACCTGCAAACAGACTATATATATAACGTTTCAATATACATTTTGTAGTTCAAATTTACTGAAGCCCATTTAGGACCTATCATAGATATTATTGAATTTGTTATAACGATTTTTAGAATATGCTCTAACGAATTTAATTTGTTATGAAAGATTTATTGAATTTGTTATAACGAATTTAATTTGTAATAACAGATTCGTTGAATTTGCTATAACCAAATTAATTTGTTATAACAGATTAATTGAATTCGTTATAACGAATCTAATTTTTTTATTAACAGATTTATTGAATTCGTTATAACGAATTTAATTTGTTATACATGTAACAGATTTGTTGAATCCGTTATAACAAATTTAATATTGAATTCGTTTGAACTAATTCAAAAATTCGTTAAAACAAATTCTTGAATTGGTTATAACGAATTCAACAAATTAGTAATAACAGATTTAATTCCTTATAAAGAATACAATAAATCTGTAAAACCAAATTAAATTCGTTGTAATGAATTCAATGAATCTGTCATAACAAATTAAATTCGTTATAAGAAATTACATAAATCTGTTATAAAAAATCAAATTCGTGAAAACGAATTCTAAAAATCGTTATAACGAATTCAAAAATATTTTTGATAGGTCCTAAATTGGCTTCCGTACAAATTCATATTTGTTCTTCTAAATATTAAAAATGTTCAAAACTGACATATGCGAAGAATTTCTTCCTAGAAAGGGAACTGTAATTATAAGTTGGATTACCACTAATAGAATTAAACAAAAGTTCTTCTAAAATACAACTTATATTATGAGCCTTATAAACGTAGAAAATGCTGTTACTAGTACCTGCTTTGTCAGGGACGAGTACGTACGTAAAGTTCAAATGGAATCTGTTTGACGTGATGGAATAAGAACGATCTCTGTTTAGTTCCCATGACCGGATCTAGAGGGGGGTCGTGGGGGTCAGGACCCCCAACCCTGGGATTTACTAGGTTAAAAAATGGATATACTATAGCAAGAAAAAAGTTACTATGGGTCTCCCTTGGAAAACGCCCCCCCCCCCCCCCCCCCCCCCCCGCGAATATGGGTATGAAAAATGAAAGATGTGAGGCAATAGCAGTCATAACAGTCATTGACTGGGAGGGACCTCCCTGGAAAAAATTTCTGGATCCGCGCCTGAATTCCTTATACTAACTATTCATAATTTACAAAGACAATCAACTGTGACGAAATTTGTTTGTATTAAACATTCCTCATTAAATATCAAGGACTTTTCAATCATACATTTTTTTTTCAATCTTATTCTTTGAAAGAAATAAAAATGATTTTGCAATTATCACAGATAGTTTTTTTCTCAAGGTGTAAAATGTTTTGATATTTTGACTTATAAATATTTTTAATTAATATGTATAATTTGTGAAAAAAAAGATATACATAATAAATAAAATTTGCTGAAACAAAACTTACTTGACGGAAGAAATAATATATAATATTATAACATATAGCAAATCTGAAAGCTCCGAGTTTGTACGAATTTTTAACTGATTTCTGAAGCATTATACCCATTTAGGAAGAAGGAAGAAGAAGTTTATGAGTTTATAAAACAGGAAAATATCCAATTGAAAAACTTTTGACACGCTTGACCCCTTTTGTGTAAATGTTAAGCTCGGTTTATGCACCCTATTTAAAAGGGGAAAAATGTGAATGAATCGAAATGTTTAAAAAAAATTCCTGCTTTATTGCCACTCCTAAAGTAAACAGGGAATGTTGGAACTGTGATGAAATATAAATTATAAGGAAAAGATTCCAAACTCAAAGGTCATTAAACGACACAAATTTCGGAGTAGAGCAAACACAGACCTCTAAAACATCAGAGATGGGAGGAGAGAGTTTTTCTTGCAGACTGTTCACATCCGCCTTGTATTCCTTGTGATGACAGGGAGATGAAGAAAAAATTCGTCAACAAAGCAGTGCATTGATAATGGTCTAAATAATAATTTTAAAAAAATGTCAGCCAGCATTTGACATAATGATAGGATGTATTTGCGGGCAAGGTAATGATGAAGACCGTAGAATTTGCAAAATGATGAATTTCAGCGAGACAGCTAATATTCTTGTTACACTAACTTGTTTGACAATAACTTACCACTTTTTGGAAATTGTTTTCAGAGAAAATAATCTAACATAAAGACTCAACTGAGAAACATACACTTCTTATGAAGGTGATATTAGCAATATTCCTGTATGAGTAAGGACTATTAACGAATAAAAAGCTAAAGTCATCACATCTGTCATAAAGTTTGGTTGTAAGATGAACAATAACTCTAGTTAAACTTCCAAAGATGCAACATATATATGTATAACGCTATGGTATCTTTTTATTTCAAGCTCACTGGGGTATATCATATCGATATCATGATGGAAATAACCATTAGAATTTTAAATGACATCACATCGTTGAAATATTAAAATGTCTAGGCCAAAGCAGAGTTTCTTCTATTTACGCATAAGATATTGAAGAAGGATATGGAAATAACGAACAGTATTCAATTTCAACGTCCATTAAACAAATAAACAAAATAAGAGCAGAACAAACACGGACCTCCGAAACATCAGAGGTGGGATCAGGTGCCATGGAGGAGTGAGCATCCCCTGCCGACCGGTCACACCCGCCGTGTGTTCTTTGTCATAATCAGGAAATAACGGAAAAAATCCGTGGTCAATTCAGTGTATATATAATGGACTAACAATTGGTATGAAAAACGTCAGTCAGCATTTCATTCAATGATAAATTGAAGAAATTCAGCTTCATATTATGAATACAGAAAATTTCATTATATTACGAACTCTATCGGTATATTGATATATAGTAATTGTTAGGCTATCTTATACACACTGAATTGACGACGGATTTTTCCGTTATTTCCTGATCATGACAAAGAACACACGGCGGGTGTAACCGGTCAGCAGGGGATGCTCACTCCTCCATGGCACCTGGTCCCACCTCTGATGTTTCGGAGGTCCGTGTTTGCTCTGCTCTTATTTTGTATTGTTTTATGGACTTTGAGATTGGATACTGTTCGTTCATACTGTTCATATATTTCATACATCGACCCCTTTTGATAATAATTTTCACTCTACAAAAACGTCACCATTAGTAATTATTTTTACTGCCAAAGAAATAAAAAGTGTTCATAAATATAAAGTGCAACGGTATTTGATAAAATCGGATCGCGCAGCAGTTTTGCAACCACTATTGAAATAAGGACCACTATTGAAATAATTATATCAATAGTGGTTGAGGGTGCATTTCAAAGGCAAACATAGTTAGTTACCACTATTGAAATGCAATCATAATGCTACTGTATATCAAAAGTGGTTGATGGTGCATTTCAATAACCAAAATAATTAGTAACCACTATTGAAATACGACCACTATTGAAATTATAATTATATCAATCGTGGTTGAGGGTGCATTTCAAAGGCAAACATAGTTAGTTACCACTATTAAAATGCAATCACTATTGAAATAATTATTGCAATAGTGGGTGAGAGTGCATTTCAATATAATAACCGTAAGTTTCAACCTTTATTTAAATACAAGCACTACTGAAATAATTACTTAATAGTGGATGAGAGTGCTTTTCAATATGGTAACCATAGGTTTCAATCACCATTGAAATACTATCAGTATTGAAAGAAAAGTTTCACCACGTCAGCAAATAACGTCAGAAATAAATTATTTCAATATGTATTGGATTCATTGTTCAAAGCACTATTGAAATCAATAATTTAATCCATATTGAAATTTTTATTTCAAAAGTAAACATTATTTCAATAGTGGTTACATACTATGTATTTTATTGAAATGCACTCTCACACATTATTGAAATAATTATTTCAATAGTGTGTGAGAGTGGTCGACCGTTCTCGGTAGCTCAGTCGTAGAGCGCTCGCTACGTGAGCGGGAGGTCGTGAGTTCGTATCTCGACCGCGACTGACCCAGTCGATCAAATGGGTAGCAACTGTTCCTTCGCCATGTGCTAGGCACTTTGAAGTGAAAGTTGCGGGTCCTTCGGATGAGACATTAAAAACCGAGGCCCCGTGTCAGCGGCAAGCGTTGGTACGTAAAAGATCCCGCATTGCTCAATGGCCCTAAGTGCCGAGAAAAGGTCAAAATTTGAAGCCCTTCAACGGCATACGGTGACGTCTCCATATGAGTGAAAAATTCTCGAGAGGGACGTTAAACAATATACAATCAATCAATCAACCACTATTGATATAATTATTTCAATAGTGGTCGTTATTTTCATAGTGGTTATTACCTATGTTTGATATTGAAATGCACTCTCAACAAATATTGATATAATTATTTCAATAGTGGTCGTTATTTCATTATACAATTATTGACTTTTGATGAGGTCTACTCGAGACTATACAGACCTGTTCAGGTATTGGTTGACCGAGGCCGAAGGCCGAGGTTAACCAATACCTGACCAGGTCTGTAAAGTCACGAGTAGACCAAATTCAAAAGTCAATAACCGTTTTAATAAATGATGAGGAATTTTACAACACGGCTTACTCTTTCATTCTTGTCTCCATCAAATATAAACATCCATAGTGTAAAGTGTAATTACACTTTTTAGCTGTTGATATACTTCAACAGCTAAACAAATATTAGTTAAAAAGTTGAAAACAATATTATTAAACAATGAATACTCAACCATTTACTTTCAATAGTTTGTAATCTCCTTGGTAATGGCGTCTGACATGTTTACGTTCACACCGACACATGCTTTGAAACACGCAATCTGATTGGTCGAAAAAGCTTTAAGCAAATCTATGGTTGGTCGAGAGGGAAAACACGAATAAACCTCCCAGAACGTCATACGAGGTGAACTCACTCTGAGGTACACAACAGTAAATGGCGTCTAGACCAATCAGAGAGCACCAAAATTCCGTATCATTTAATAATAGTGGTTGCAACACAGCAGGTCAAAATTTAGTATTTCACAAACAAAAAACTAAATAAATATGAAAATGTCTGTAGTCATATTCTTTGTAAAATGGAGCAAAAATCGAAAAAAAATCCAGAGTGTTAAATTTAGAACTTTTACATTGACTCATCTTCCAAATTATGGCTAAATATTTTGCTTCGTTGAAAATTTCTTGAAACTAGTATATTCGAACAATCCTCGCACATTTATTTGTACAATACAAACTTGGTGTTGCAGTACATGTTTTCGCAAGGATTTTTTGTGCTTTGTAAGAATGTTATGTTGATGTGTTAGTATATCTTTAATGTCTTCTAAACATGCATCATGAAAAAGGAAAAATAATCAATATGGCAATACTGTCACTGATTCGATCACAAAGTGTTTATTGCATGGACGTTTTATTTTTCAAACAAAGATTTTTAAAAACTATATAAATAAGTGTTGGAGACAAAATACATGTATATGATACCTTAAATATAATTGTGAGTATTCCCTTCCAAAATAAATTGAACGGTGATTTTTTTTTCACTTTCCAGTTCTAACAATGCTAAAAGTATATTTTTAAATTTTTGTTATTCATTCAAACAAACATACAACAAAGAGCAACTATAAATATGTTTTAAAATAATTCCATTGATGAGAATAAGAAATATATTTTAAAATATAAAAATGATGAGAATAAGAATAAGGAATATATAGTACATGAAGAAGACCAGCTTTCCTTTTCTCTCATAATAATGATTAATTATCTGTCGTTTTACGTCCCGTTTGAGAATTGTCACTTATGTAGAGATCCATGAGAGAAGAGCGATAAACTTGTTACCAAACTAGTTTCTGGTAATCGATTGTAGGTGGTGAATTTTGATTTTTTTTTCCTTAAAACTGTGTGAGATGAGGTAAATCAGCTGGTCTTTTATCCACTCTTGTTTCCTGCAAAAAATAAAGAAGGCTATCAATAAAAGAATAAAAACTACAAAGAAATGAAATCTATCTTGGTAATTCTGATCATTAAATTACCTTCAAAATGTATGTAACGAATAATTTAACTGTCTTAATCGTATGCAGCTAAAAGCATAATTTAATTTTTAAGAAGGGTTATGGAATTTTTTTTAAAAAATGAACCAGGAAAGATGTAATTTAAATCAGAACGGAGGAATTCTTTTTTAAGATTGTCCTCGCCCCTTGTTTTTTCTTCCCTTATACAAGTCTTGTAAATTTTATTTTACCCTGCATAGAGAAAATGCATTTTTGTTTGAATATGTCGCATTTTTATTTCGCCCATTCACGAAAAGGGCGAAAGGAGTGAAAACATAATAAAACGAAAATTTCTTGTATACAGCCTCTGTGGTCTAAAGGTAAACGTGTCTAATCTAGATTTGCGGAGTGTGGAGTTGGACCTTTTGTCGCGGATTCCAATTCCCCTCTGGGATGTGGAGGCTGGCCTTCGGCTCAGATTGTATTAAATGATTCACAGTGTTGCAGAATGTACTGGCATGAAAAAAGACCAAGAGTGCCAAGCATTGATCCAAAACTGCAGCTCTTCATTGGCTAGTGGTGGTGTTTCAATCTGAGTGAAATCTCTCGAGAGGGACGTTAAACAACAAACAAATATACAAACTGAACTGCCGAAGGATTTTCCATTAATTTCCTATCATATAACAAGGAGCTCAAGTAGAGGTGACCAGTCGGCAGGGGATTTTCACAGCCCCATGGCACCTGATCCAACCTCTACTGTTTGAAATATACTGTTTGCTATCTCCATATATTTTACTTTGGTTGGAAAATTGCGGCTTCATATCACTTTAATTTCTTAAAGCAAGTAGGGCTTCTATTTCATTATTTATCTGATGTTAAATTGGAAATTTCAAAGGAGATTTCTTTGAAACAAAAGTATTTTGTGTGATTCCTCTCTGATCTTCCTGTCCTTTCACTCTAAAAACTCTAAACTAACGTTTTAAATTGCTACTTGTAAAATCAACAACAAATATAGATTCTTATACAGTCGATTGCTTACCTTTTTAAAACAGATTGAAGGTGGTGTAAAGATGGAGGAATCTTTAATTCCCATCGTCATGTTGTAGAAAATCCATAAAAATTGTCCATCTAGTAGAAATGGTAAATCTATATTATATTATTGAGAACTTTCTTCAGGATGATGTTTACATAAACGAAAAAAAATACTCCTATGATTCTCATGTAATTATTTACTTTCATATACCTAGGTCAATGACCTACATTTCATGTTAGTAGCTCTTATGTATTTCTAGGAGAATAGTTTTTTCCTTCAAGTTTTCAAACGATTACCAATATTTTCTTCATTCAAAATGTTGCAAGCAATACAAGTCTTTAAATTAGAAAAGATGATAAAAATCGAATAGAATTTTCATGTAACTGTTGATATTGACCAGTAATTTACTTAGAGACACTTCGATACAGACAACAAGCTGACGGAAGAACGACTTTATCTAGATCTGAGCATGCACACATAACACAAGTATGGAGAAACATTAATGACATAACACACATACATAAAACACCAACAGTAATCAAAGAATAAGATCTTGAACCATGAAATTGTAAATAATTCCCATGAAATTCAAGAATAATTTTACCGGGTTGTGGGATCTTCGAGGTGGTCTTAACATACTCTACAGGAGTGCAGTTGGGTCCAACGGTGATGAGTCTTGTGAGATCACCATCCATGATTCTGTATGTGTTTACCTTAAATGTGTAAGGTGATACACCCATAAACGACCGCCCGACTAATTTGGCTCTAGCTGAAATATATACATATATAATATAATCATACATGTATATAATATGTTTTAGTTTAATCAGTTGTTGTGACTTCTTTTAATGATGTTAGAATTAATATGTACTTAACGAGAATTCATACTGATACGTTTTAAGAGATATATTGAGTAAACATATTTCTGTACTGTCTGGAATGAAATCCCATGTTATAAAACGAATGAGAGAATCATAGAAACATTAATAAGCGTAGAAACTAAAGGTTAAGATAATACTTTAACATCAATCTTTGAGATATAAATTAGTTAGGTTATGTCCAACCTGGGACACAGGTCTGGTTGAAAAGACCTGACGATGAAACATAACACCGTCCTCTTCCCCATTTGTAGGACTTATTCTGAAAGCAAAAGAAATCAACTATATTTCCGATGCACTTTGCACTACGAACGACTCTTCTTTTTTATTCTTTTACTGTATAAACTTGTTAAATATAGCATCAATTTTTAAATATCGCGAAATATAACGAAAAACACATAAAAACGACTTTTTCCCAAATAAGAACACTTCTAATTTCTGGATTACACGTAGTTATTACCTACTATTTAAATTCCAAACTTCGAGTTAGTACCTTTTACAAACACCATTTACATGGAATTTTTCCCAATTTAATAACTGTATATAACTGTAAACTTACATCTGCATAATCATCTATTTGGTCATATTCGTCCTCCTTTGATTCAGCCACTACATGTGTTGCAGTTTTCCGAGACTTAGCATCATAGGAATACATCTAAATAGAAATAAAGAAACAAACCCCATTTGTATTAAGTCATATAGTAAACAAATATAGGAAGAACCATAACTATCGGTGATGTTGTACAGAATATAAATCAATTAGAAACATATGAAGATAACAAATAGTATTCAAGATCAAAATTCATACAATACAAAACAGGGGCAGAGCAAACACGGACCTCCAAAACATCAGAAATGGGATCATTTGCCATGGAGGAGTGAGCATCCCCTGCCGACCGGTTTCACCCGCCTTGAGCCCCTTGTCATGATCGGGAATTAATGGAAAAATCCGCCGTCATTCAGACTAACAATTAATATGAAAAATGTCAGTCAACATTTCACTCAATAATGAATTGTATTTGCTGACAAGGTCGTTGTATCGGCAAGAGAACTGACAAAATGATGACTTTAAACGAGACTGTTGATATTCTTGTTTCATCAACTTGTTTGTCAATAATTTACCTCGTCATAGAAAACGTAGAGCATGCTCTTGCGTATCGAATCAACTGAGAGACATAAACTCTTGTGTTTTAGTAATCACGTTTATGTAAAGTTGGTTGTTAGTTTACATATTTTGTCTTTTTATAAAATGACCAAGTATTGAGATGTGTCGGACTCTGTGGTATCTTTTATCTCAAGCCCATCAGGACATAGAAATGGAAATTTCTATTCTTAATTGACAATACGTCGTCGATATATCTAAATGTTGAAGGCCACATCAAGTGTTTTCTTCTTATCACGCATAAGATTTTGCATAAATTCTGCTTCATACGAATAAAAATTATGGTATATATTCAAGAGAAGTGTACTTAACTATTTGAATACATTTGAAAAAATTCATATACTAACACAAGAAAGATGTAAAATTAATATAAAAGCAATTTTCAAATTTTTAAGCATAAATGATTACTCTTCTATTCATCACTTTCTTAATTTTTGTATTCTTTCATTGCGGGTACTTGCAATTGTAAGGATTTCGCGGTGACAAAATAACTGGCCCCAGGTCATACATTGAGGCTACGAAGTGGTTATGGGAAAGGGCAATTAGAAATTCAAACGTTGTGTAAGTATACTTTTAGTGCTTTTAATCATTTAAAAGGTAATAATAAAGAGTGTTATAAATCTACGTGTGAATTATTGATGTGTTAATCATATAGAATCATATAGACCAGCGCGCTTCATGATATATGTCTACATGACATGTCTTTGTGATTAACATACACATAACTTACACAAAACTAAAAAAAAAAAGCATTCATATTTACTTTTACGAGAAAATGTTTAACAATGGAATGCTCTTGTTTTATTTGAAACTTTGAAAGTCAGTGCTTTTATTCATTTAAAAGGTAAAAAAATGTATACAGTGTGAATTATAACTAAATCTGGAAATTTTTGCTGTAGATAAATTTTTAGCAAATTTGCGAGTTCATTGCATTAGAAAATGTAAACAAAGCAGTGGTCATTCGCAAAATTTTGAAACGTAAAAATTAATCAACAGCATTTTCACACTTAACATAGATATTGTCGCTTCATGAAATGTCATGCATCTTTTTGATGTCGATTTCAGAGTACTTATGTGTGCAATAAAAATATTTTTAACAAAATTATTTTGCAAATGGCCAATGACAAGGTAAGTAAATTAACGAAAATTTGAAAGTACATCAGTAGTATTTAAAATTTGTATACATTTTTCTGGAGGCCCAAATTTTACGCGTTCTTCAGATTTGATTTTTAAAAAATATTTTTTGAAAGCCGTAAATGGTTTGTTATTTTTAACTTTTTTCACTTTCTCTCCATTATCAACGATTAAATATTGGTATCATGTATTTAGGTAAAGTAAACCACAGACCAAAACTATGACAATACGACAGAACGTTACTAAATAGCATAGTTCAATTCTGTGAACTTACCAATTTTTGAAATCTTTTATCCCTGACACTTGATAAAGATTCTAATGTGTCGATATAAGTCTGGAACTGAAGGGGTGGACAGCACTGGAAAACAGTCCCGGGGATAAGAGACCAACAAACAGGAGGAAGGAAATGTCAAACATTTTAGCGGTGTCCTATCGTTTAGCAATTGGCAAAACGATCCCAAAAAGTTCCTTCTGCTCTTAATAATCAAGGAAGAAATATTACCACGGGAAAGGTCTATTTTGATTGGATAAAGATCCATTAACTCTCAAAAAGGGATAAAACCCTACTCGTGTTATTCTTCCTGAAATCACGTCAATTTGGTTACAAAAAGAAAATTGAATGCATTTATTTTTTTCTACAGGTTGTGTTTGTTCTGCAAATATTTACCCACTATTACTCTATAGTTTTTCTTACTTTATGATATGGAATACCCATGGTACCAAGAATTATTAGAAAAATAAATGCATATTAGAGATATACTGTATGCAATTATTCTGCAACTGTGTGATATACTGATATAAACGTGTAGTCAACATGGTCAACCGAAGGAATACATTAAAAAATTATGTATTTCAAGGATCAAAATAGATTATATTTGTGTGATATTTTGACTATTGACCGGACCCTTAAGGTAGATGTACAAGCCATATTGGATCTAGTCTGATGTAGATTAGGAAATACAATGTACCAAGAATGCGCTTAATAATCCACCAAACTAGCTCAGCGTTACACAAAGTGTTAATGCACTCATTACCTATCTTTAGAGACGAAAATTAATAAATAATTAAGTTTATTTTGTTTGAATTAACATGTTCACTATTAAGCAATTCCATTATTTATGCACTGAATTGACCACGGTATGCTCGCAAAATTTTCATTCTTTTCCTTTAGATTATAGAGAGAAATGACCATAATTCATGAAAATTTCGTCTTGCTAACAAAGAGTCAATGACTATCTCGCAAAAATAAGTTGTCGCGAAAATTAAGTGATCAACAGTATTTCCTGATCATGACAATGAGCACATGGCTGGTGTGACCGGTCGGCAGGGGATGCTCACTCCTCCATGGCACCTGATCCCACCTCTGATGTTTCTGGGATCTGTGTAAGCTCTACTTTTATTTTGTATTGTTTTATGGACTTTGAGATTGAATACTGTTCGTTATCTCCATAATTATCCTTCTTAGACAAAAGCTGACTGACTTTTTTTTACTTATTTATACACTGAATTGAAGACGGATTTTTCCGTTATTTCCCGATCATGACAAGGAACACACGGCCAGTGTGACCAACAGCAGGGGATGTTCACTCTCATATTGCACCTGATTCCACCTCTGATGTTTCGGAGGTCCATGTTTGCTCTGCTCCTACTATGTATTGTTTTAGGAGCTTTGATATTGAAAACTGTTCGTTATCTCCCTATCTTTCTATGAAGAGCTATTTTAGAATACAGTTATTTTCCGACTACAGATGATAAGAAGTGGGATCGGATGCCATTCGGGAGTGAGCATCCCTTGCCGACCTCCCACATATGCCATGTACTCCTTCTCCTTCTTCGGACCGGTTTTTTGTTGTTAAACGTCCTTGCGACAAGTGACCTCGGTTAATACGGTTTCGTCCGAAGGTTTTCATGTCCGACGGTAAGATTTGAACCCGCGACGTAAGAATTAACTTCTTACTCTTTATTCCTCGACTCTGGACACTCTAGCCACTGTGCAACGCAGACGACTTCTCCAGATCGAAAAGAAACGGAAAAATCTGTGGACAATACAGTTTGTAAATGATAGCCTAACAATCATCAAGATGAAGTCATCAATGTTTAACATAACGATAGGTTTTATTTGCTGACAAGGTCAGTGTATCCAACACATGTACAGAACTTACAAAATGATTACTTTAAACAAGACTATTTATACTACCGTTCCAATGCTACTAACTTGTTGTCATTAATTGCCCCATCTTAGAAATTGTTTATAAGTAGAAAGCATACTCTTACATATTATTAATATTCTTGATTTTTGTTGCAAATTGGTTGTTAATAATTTACAATAAGTTATTCAAATGTTGAAAAAATTCTTTTGCATCAAATCAACCGAGAGAAAAGAACTCATTATCCAGCTTTCAATTTTTATTAAAAATGACCATGTGAAACAGATATAGATTGTAATCAAAAACTATTTTCATTTTTTATACAAACTTTTCAGTGTGTAGAAAATAACCCTTAAAGATTATTTTAAACTATGATGTAATAAATAAAATGTACAGATTTTATTATGTTTGGTTTTTTTTTTTTTCATAGCTTTAATAAATTAACATCTAAAATAATTAAATTGCACAGTACCCAAAAACAGCCGTATACTTTATGAAAGCGCATTTATGTCTGTCCAATGACTAACTGGTCTGTGGAAAATCTCAAAAAGAGGTTCAACTCTTTATAAAAATGTTATATGTTGGATGGAAAAAGCTCTAAAGAAATATGTTTTTTGAGATTACAGCAATTAAAGAACTGTATTATAAAGAATGTCTGTTAGGTAAAAAAAAATAAATAAAAAGTCCATGAACATTGTTCCTAAGATTACTTAAAATTATTAGTCGTGTTATTAATAAAAATGTGTATATATAAGTTCAGAACTTTTCCTTGTCTTTCTTTTAATATTTATCACACGGCAGAATGCATTTCGCACCGTCAATTCCGGAAGCTGCTTTAAGACGCCATTGTCCTAAAACACGTTAAAGCCAGGTAGGCCACGTGGTCTTTTGTCGACTTTTGTGCTCTGTTCAAGTATATAAATCAACATTAAATATATATTATGATAACCTTCAAGGATATAAATGTTTTTTTAAAGTGTAATACAATTGTGATCAAATCTTTTTATTTTAAAAATGTGAATGCAAATAGAATAATTTTATTTCTAGCTGTAATAAGCCAAAAAATTAACTAAGGATGTAGTACATGTGTATTTGAAAAATTCCACTGAGTTCAATATTCTACAGAGCGTTAATAGAATTACCAGAAACTGAAAGCAGAGACATTATAAAAATGAAAAAGTAAAGTTATTGAATGCGTCAAAGACGTGTCTAAATGACAAGTTTAAATCAGAAAAAAATGCTTGTTATACAGCTACAGAAACTATGGAAGACAGTTATCAGTAACTATAAAATTAATTCTATTAATAACAAAACCAAGGAGATGTAACACGATAAAAAAAAACTTTCATGTGATTTTTCTAAAGAAACTAAGAATAGTTTTGTCTTATGTATATTGTAAAATATTCATTTATTCTTAAAATGTAGAAATGTAATAGAAACTCTAAATATATATATTTTCAATTTCATTTCAAGACGTACCGTTTTAAAACAGATTTTGGGTGGTGTAAAGATGGAAGCATCCTGAATTCCCATAGTCATGTTGTAGAACATCCACATATATTGCTCAGCTAGGCAAAAATTATGATTAATAAAGAATCAGGTAGACAGACAAACTGAATAAATGTAGATATGCAATTATGCATCGTCCGTCAGAATTCCTTCTTTCAGTTTTTTTTTTCTCAAATTCATTAAGAAAACCCATAACATCAAACAGTGACATAACACAGAGTCAAGAATTATGAAAAACGTTAACCACAATCTGCTTATTATGTTGGAAAATCAATGAACATGAATTAATGACTATGATCATGACCAATTTAAAAATCATTAAATATAATACCTGGGTGGGGAGTCTTTGGGGTTGTTTGGACTAACTCTACAGGAGTACAATTTGGTCCCATGGTGAAAAGTTTTGTGAATCTGCTCTTCATAAATTTGTATGTATCTACCTTAATTGTGTTCGGGGATACTCCTACGTGAGATTGTCGGAATAATTTGGCCCCAGCTGTAATAATTACAACACCTTTCATGCATGCATAATTTGAATTCATCAGAAATGTTATTTTAAAATAGCTTTAAAAAGTTTGTTTTTTCTTTCAAATTGATCTGCTCTTTATAAAAATTTATGTCGATCTTACATGAGTTTTCTTTGCATATTGCTCTAATTCTAAGCACTTTGGACACGCACAGATCTGCCCTTTTTAAACCAAACTTATTATAGGGGTGTTTATTGTATTGTATGAGATATGCGTTTATACGTTAAGCGAAGCTGAGCCTTTTATACAGATCAAATTTTATCCGACCTGGGACGCAGGTTTGGTTGAAGGGACCTGTCGGTGTTACATGGCACCATCCTTTTGCCCATTCGTAGGATTTATTCTAAAAGTATAAATATGTCACCTCTTTATTCTAAGATAAAGTGTAACTGTATTAATATTTCTATATTATGTTTATATTCATCCTACAATGAATCTTTCTTTTTAGGTTGTAGTCATAAATGCAATGGTGTGTTGCACAATGCACTTCATATGCGAATGAAAGAATAAAATTAAATCTTTATCATTTAGTATTAAGAAAATGTTCAATAATATTTTCATATTCAATGTTTCCATTAGAGTAATTTGATAAAAACACTTACAGCTGCATAATCATTTATTAGGTCGTATTCGTCTTCCTTGGATTCAGCCACGACATGAACTGCTAACTTCCGAGACTTAGCGTCATACGAATACATCTAAAATCAAAGTACTGAAAGTACTGAAAAGCGGTTCGCATGCTTTCATTGAATATGTACAGTGTACAATAACAAAAAATGCATTGAATGATGATATTCAAGTAGGCATGCATATATTTTTCCAGTGTCATCAGCAAAGAAGCAGACACACTGAATTTTGTAGTACTTAACAAAATGGTATAACCAATAACATCCCAGACTGATGTCACAAATGTTTGTTTCAAAATATCAACCCGAGATTTTCAGTTTGAAAGACAGGAAGTTCAATTTCAAAAAATTCTTCCTAATTGTCTCCATTGGTGGCGTCCAAAAGTGCTCAGAACGAAAAAAAAATTATGTTGATGTTGCAAATTTAAGGTCTTCAATCCCTAATAGGAAGAAATTCAATGAAATTGAAAAGATAACAGATATGTAGGCATTGAACAATCAGTTTTTTTTAGACATAATTTCCATTTATTACTATAAGTATATCTAGTGGGATGTGTCCTAATTCATGACATTGAATTTTGGTAAGAGTTATTTCCCCTTTTTTAATTAATAAAAAAAAACTCAATTAAAAAAAAATTAGCTGGTAAAAAAAATGTTTTCAGTTATCATTCTATTTTTAATATTTCAATGCATCTTTCCACCACAGTATTTATTGATATTCAAATTATTTGAATTTTTATTTTGAAAAAACCGTTTTCCCCATAGACTTCAATGCAATCTTTGTTAATTAACTACAGCTTAATTAATGAATTTTTCCAAAATTTCTCGTGGACAATTTTTTTTCAACTATAAAACACTTTAATAAAATATCAGAGTATTGTGTACTTGATGGACATTTAAGGGTAGAGAATTTGGTCCCATTAGGGATTGAAAGCCTTAATTGACTTTCATGCTCTATTGATTCTGAAATTAGGTAACTGTAAAGGCTACTATAGCAAACAACTCAAAAAGAAAATAAAATGATAATTCATTTTTTTTAGATTAATTGATTTGGAGTACTGTATATAGATCTTTAGCTGGCTAGTCTGAGAAAAACGTATGGACGAGCAGAGAATTAATTAATTTCAGATAGTTTTGGTTTCGTAGGCTCACTGCGGGTCAGCAGGTGTGACCTGTCATTGGGGATGCTTACTACTCCTAGGCACCGGAATTTTCTTTTGAGACCGATCGCTGTTCATTCTATATTTTGATACAGATACTGAGTACATCTGTTTATTAATATAATGAACTGTTTCTCTCATAGGAAGAAAGACAAGTAAACAAGATAATAAAGTTTTAAGAAATGTACATTATTGACTTTTCATACAATTAAATGTTCGAATAAGTAAATGGTATATGACAATTATTTAAAACAGAGTCTTGCATGATATGTATAAACGAACATATACTGAGTATTTGGCAAATATTTTTCATGAAAAAAAAGAATGAAAAGGAAAGTTGTTGTAGAATCCATCAATACTAGTATTTTAAAAATTCAAAGGTTCACTAAAAGTCAGTGTATAACAAACAATGTAATTGTCCATTGCAAGAATTACCTAGGTATCATTGTCACTTTCTTCAATATGTCGCATAAGCAATACATTGTTTTGTTTTTTTTCTACTGAATACAAGTATGCGAATTTCTATCAATATGTCTGTAAGCATATGTATTTTAATTTTTATTTCTTCTCAAAGGCTCAAAGTGATGATTAACAAATTTCACAAATTCAAATTTAAAAAGTATTTTCATAACTTATACCTTGCATAGGAATTTAGCAAACTTTCAAACATAATCATTCATTATTTATAATTTTCAATTTGTGCTTATCGTAAATATTTTTCATGCCTCTTTTTTCTGTGAATATTTTATATCGGCTGATTTTTAGAAAAGGATCAAATGCCGATAAAAATTTTTTCTCCAATTTTTTAAAATTAATTTTAGTATTTTCAGGCTCCCATTATTTTTCTTTTTTAATAAAAACGTGTTCGTTTAAAATCGTTTGTAATAATTAGACTGAGTACAGAATTTTTCCCTGGATACAAAGCTTTTATCATCTTTTAAATACTTTCAATTGAGAAAATCAAAAAGGAGAAGAAAACAAACGTTTTATTATGCAAGTAATCCATAACTGTACAACTTACAGAAGTATTTCAGTATTTGTTTTATAAAGGCTTTCTTCGTGTAATACTATTACTTAAGTTAATTAAAGGGATGCCTTAATATTTTGGAAAAGGGAAACCCGATCAAGAGATTCTCCGATGTTTTGCAGTCAGTAATAACCTTCAACCCCTTTAGCCAGTAATTAACGCGTCCTCCCTGTGCCCAGTAGCATAATTCGGTCAAATATAATTTATTGTTCCTGGGGGGTGTCTTATAATTAATCACAGGCACCTGAATTCTTATCAGTAAGTCTCTAAAGTAGCCAAATATCGAAACATTCTACCGCCTCTCTATATAAACACACAAGGTGTGCGACGCATTTTGACCACCTGTTCGATTCAGGCTTCAATTTAACGCACAAATCGGAAATGCCTACTGGTTTTCGTGTAGCATTGGGTTCAAATGTGATATTTCTCTCTATACATTTCTTCCTAAAGTTTAAATCTAACGCGTTGGTAATGTTATCAGCTTAACTTCATGCTGACTTCGAATTTCGTCGTCGCCCGCGTGGCGCAGTGGTTAGAGCGTCTGCTCTAGAGTCGCGAAGTAAGGAGTCAATCCTTACGTCGCGGGTTCGAATCCCACTGCGGGACGTGGAGACCGGTCCTTCGGATGAGACCGTATAAACCGAGGTCCCGTGTCGCAGTAGGTGATGGCACGAAAAAGAACCCTCACTGCTCAAAGGCCCTGAGTGCCGAGCAAAGGACAAAATTTGTAGCCCTCCACCAGCAAGTGGTGGCGTCTCCATATGAGTGAAAAATTCTCGAGAGGGACGTTAAACATCATACAATCAATCAATCGAATTTCGTCACAGAGCCTGATCGCTATAAGCTGATGTCACGGAAATCTAATCTCGAAGCCAAATGCTCCTATACATAAACTTTTTTAATACAACAATTATAAATCTATTTCATTGACAAATAAAATCAGAAAAAAAATTTAAAAAACCGAAAGATTATGTTGTTTTGATAGTTTTGATTTTATTTAACTTATGTTACATGTGTTAGAAACAAATCATAGGTACTAAGTAGAGGCTTGGTTGAAGTTTCCGTTGTCGATAGGTAGCGCCTTATGGAAGTTTCCGGTGTCGATAAAAACAATAACGATAAAACGAAAAAAACGGATACATGCCATAAAGCGGTTAGCAAAGCTAATCGCTTAAAAAGTACAGAACGTAAACTTTATGTCTCCGTGTAACGTTTATAAACTATTGTAAATGTGTACCTATCTTAATCCTTAAACGGAATGAAATGTTTAAACAAATTACAAAGTATGAGTCCTACAATATTTACAAACTGATGCGTCTATGGATTATGCTCTTTGTCCGATCCTGGCAAGGAGCATATGGCGGATATTCCTGTCAACATGGTATCCTCACCCCTCCATGATACCTGATCTTACCTCTGATGCTTTAGAGGTCCGTATTTGATCTGCATCTGATCTGAGTTTTTGGACTTTGCATATGGACTTTTGAGCTTAATTATTATATTATATATAAACATATACAAACTTCAGCGATTTCTTAACATACACAAAAATACCCTTCCTATAAAGAAAGGATTTACAGTACAAAACTAATCATCATATCTCACTATAATTATTCCCGACAAAACTTTATGATTGTTTCTAGATTATCACGTGTTCGGCCCATAAAAGTGTATATTTCACAATCGTAGGCATGCTTTTCATTATATTCCACCTCTTCAATTATCGTTCATTGTAAGAACACTCAGGGGTTGCACACTCCTTCATGTCACCTTAACCCATCTCTAATTTTTTGAAGGTCTCCGTTTGTTCTGCCCCTATTCTGTATTGTTTCATGGACTTTGATATTGAATTAGCTGCAGATCTGTAGCTATCCGGAAAAATATATCTTGATAGACCGGATAGCTACAGTGCCACCCCTGGAAAAAACTGTATATTTATTGCACACAAAAAAGTGCGCTCGGTTTTCGATTTATTTTTCCATGTTCCTAAAACTGTAATTTCAAAATATTACTAACCGTGTGTTCCTAACATATTCTTTGACTCTTTCCACAACAAAACATTCGTCATAATTGTTGTTAATAGTCCTCCTGACCCTGATATTGTCATCATCGAAAATTTCGATTATATATACTGCCATTTTGGTTTCAAAGATAAATCCAATATGCTTCGTTCAGATGTCAACTACGAATGTAGAAGAGGGAAACTTTTTTAAATCTTCCCTCTTTTGCAATTGAGGTAAGAATATGGAAGAAATAATCAAGAACTGAGCGAACTTTTTTGTGCTCAATAAATTTACAGTTTTTTCAATGGGTGGCACTGTAGCTATCCGGTCTATCAATATATATTTTTCCAGATAGCTACAGATCTGCAGCTAATATCGAATTTGTCCGATACCTCTTTATATCCTTCATCCCAAAAGTAGTATACGTTATAAAAGCTAAGTATACATCACAAAATTGCTCATTAGTGATACCTCAAAGGGTTTCAGTAACTTTATGTTAAAAATAATAGTGATAGCATTGCTGAATTTGAAAGTTTAATAAATATGTTGATTTAAAACGTTTTGCTTGTTTTATGGACTTTGATATTGAATACTGTTTGTTATCTCCATATCCTTTTTTGTTTCGGTATAATTAACAATTCATTGCAGTAAAGTTCCGGAAACATGAATGAATATCATATTTCCCTCATGATTATGCAATAACCGTATAATATATAGATCACTAGAGAAATGGCAAATGCAATATTAATCATATTCAAACTAAAAACTTACCAACATACTCGTTGGAATCCATTGTGAGATGCCAAATATACTTACATGTACCACTCTCATTCCATCTGTCCTTATCATCAAGTTATAAACTGAAGACTTCTCATATAACAACTTACCAATGTCTTGAAGGTTGAAAACGATGTAAACTTGTCGATATTGGTCTGGAATTGTAGGGGTGGACAGCACTGAGGGACAGTCCCAGGGATCAGGGAGACGGACAGACCGACAAACAGGAGCATGGAAAAAACTGTCATTTTAGAAGTTTCATATGATGGGATACTAACCGCACGCAAAAAAATTACTTGGCAGTTCAGAAAAAGGGATTTTATATAAAGGAAAATGCTTCCTTATCAATTAATATAGCGGAAAATTCTTTTGAATTGCTAGTTAATTAAATATTTTTGATATTAAATCTCTTATAATAATTTTATTCCCAAACATTTCTATAATCTATAAAAATTAATAAGCAAAATTATTCCACTTAAAAGTTCAAGTAGGATTGAAAATTCAGAAAGTCCAAAGCTCGAGTAAATGTCTCATTTTGTACCCTTTACCAGCATATCGTGATGCCTCTTCTATGAATGAAACATATGGAGTAAAAAAAAACCTTTCAAACGGCACAAGAGAAAAACATCTATTCAATAATTCTTTTTAAATAAAAATTCTTTCTTCTATTTCATTTTAACAATTTGAAATGAATCTGATGGTTGCATTGATGATGGCAATTTAAAGAAGCTTGCATTCTCCACACTAAAAAAAGGTTTTTTTTCTGTCTTCCGCAAGTTGGTATCAAATGTTACATCTTGAAATTTTATCCCGGAACAGGGATGTATTTGACAGGAATTATTATGGTTTATTTTACTAAACAGGTATAGGGATGTTTTTGATAGGACTCATTAGGATTTATAAATCACTGATTTGGACAACCTTTCTTCTTTATGCCTCACATTCACGTTCTGTCAATTAACAATGGTAATTTCCATTCTTATATCGATACGATATACCCTGGAGAGCTTGATATAAAAGAAACAACACAGTTTGACAATCTCTTTCCTATTTAGATATTTTACTTGAAAAAGACGTTAATGATAATCTAACAACCATGCTCTATGATAATCGTGATGACGTTAACCTTTCTATCTTTCCTTACTTAATATGCAGCAATTTACCTTCATCAACTGCATACGGAGTTTACATATCTCAATTGATTAGAAACGCTTGAATAATTTTTACGACGAGGTAAATTATTGACAATCAAGTTGATGAAACAAGAATTTCAGCAGTCTCGTTTAAAGTTATCATTTCGTAAGTTATATGGTCGATACAATGACACTGTCAGCAAATACAGTTTATCATTCTAAAAGTCAAATACTGACTTAAGTTTTTCATACAAATTGTTAGTCCATTGTTTGTGCACTGAATTTGTTTCCGTTATTTCCCGATCATGACAAGGAGCACACGGCGGGTGTGACCTGTCAGCAGGAGATACTCACTCACACTGGAAACTGATCCACCTCTGATGTTTTGAGATCCGTGTTTGCCCTTATCCTATTTTGTATTGTTTGATAGTCTTTTGATCTGATATACTCTTCGTTGTCATCATATGTTTCATTTCAAAGTTCCCAACCGAAATCAATTAGGTTTTCTCATCCAGTTTAGGTCAAGGTAACAATTTTTTAATTAAAACACGGAATTCTACCATTGTAATTTTTATCAAAGCGCTATGTGTACAAAGCTTGTATGATTTTATTTGCAGTTCATAAATAAAGTTAATGATGTATATGGAGACCACGAACAGTATTCAAACTCAGAAGTCAATAAACAATCGAAATTTTGGAGCAGAACAAACACAGACCTCTTAAACGTCAGATGTGATTTCATAATCAAACGAGGAATAAAAAGTAAACATTTCCAAAGAGAGGAGAATAAAAGTACTGTTTAACAAGAAAATCAATCCAATAAACAAAAACAGAACAATCATTTGAATAAAATATTTCAATAATGCAAAAAGCTATGCATTCAATCTTTGTATGTTTTGAAAAATGTTATTTTATTAATATACATATTTTACAAATCGTTTGATTAAGGACAGGGTATGATAACGACGGAATCTGACTCATTATTTGATGCAAAAACCATATTTTAAATTGTGATATTTTGTAATTAAGATTTGTTTTTTTTAATCAGAACTAATTTTGATTCAAAGCGTACATGGAGGACACAAAAGAGTGCAGAAGTAGGACTTTTTTCCCTGAATTTCTTAAATTTGGTGGAATTTTGACAAATTTGAGATACTTTTCACTTCGGGAAACATAAAATACAAGCTTCCCTATCTTAGATTTTTATACGTAAGATAAAATTAATGTATAGGCAAGCAATAGCATTTAACAGCAACAAAACGTGCTTTAAAATCGAAAAAAAAATATTGCATACAAATAAGAAAATTCGGAAATTAAAATATTTTTTCACCTTCCTGTGATCTCTGTGTATCCTATTACTTAGAACCAATACTTATATCGTAGCAGGGATAAAAACAGGATTATATTGAAAAACTGTTGCATTATTCTAGAAGACACCCCTAACCAGGGGCCAAAAAGGGCCTTACCATATCTTGTCTTTTATTTATTTTTAAAACCAAAAATTTAAACTTTGCTTTATTTTCTTCTTTTTTATTTTAGAAAATCATTGGGTTTTTTTGTAGGGAGAACCTTCGCTAATCAGTAGTTTTTACTTTGTGTGCTGCATTTATGATAAAACATTTATTGAAGGAAGAGCTAGGTGGAAGTACTATATCGGAAAGAATACGTCGCTATAAGCGTGCTTTTTCTCACCACTTTAACAACACCCTGTTCTTTAATGACAGAGTAACTGGCTGTGCCTATGCTTTCTCTAGAATGAATTCAAGAAGAAAGTGGTCAAAGCTTATATGTCCAATTGACAATAATTATGAACGCCCTTTTCCCACAATCTGATTTTAAAATGTATTGATGAGAAGAAAATTAATTTAGAGTGTTCACATCATATTATCTCTTGATAGACTCTAACGTGTCGATATACAGGCCTGAAACTATATGGGGCAACAACGAGAATGAATAATTGGGATCAGAATGACTATGTTACAAAAAACAGGTGAAAGGCATTCACAGACATTTAGGGAAGTTATATTCATTTGTGATTTTACAGTTTAAACGTCCCTGCTCGTCCTATTACTTAATTCCTTTTGTTCTCATATCAATAATTGTAGAACAATTCAATGCAACAAATGAAGACAAATGAAAGATGAAACCCTTCCTTTTCTTACAAAGGTATATAGATACATACCGGTATGTGCATGTATATATATAAGATATGTATATTGATACATATCCTACATCTAGTGTTTTCGGATACTGTCATTTTACTATGTATCTTTACAGGATTAAATCTCTATCAAGGAGTGATCACTATGTTTTTATTTTTACCTGCTCTCCTTAATTAATGACATTGTGCCAGTATCTGTTATCTCTAGTTGACACAGCTGCAGTGAAATAAGTTTTCTGCGGGTAATTTAAAGCGTTGTGTTACATTTAAAACACGATATAGCAATTCCATTCAATTAATCATAACAATTAACCTAGAAGAAGGTTTATAAAGGTGAAATGACATATATGGTAATTTTCTGACAAGGTCATTGAATCGACTATAGAGTTTATTAAATGATGACTTCAAACGAGATTGCAGATATTCTTGTTTCATCAGCTTGTTTGTCAGTAATTTGCCTCGTTTTAGAAATTTTGCAGACGTAGAGCATGCTCTTGTGTATCGAATCAATTGAGAGACATAAATTGCGTTTGCAGGCGATGAAGGTATATTGGTGCATAAATAATGGAAGTGGACGATTGAAAAGTTACTTTTCATGTTTATCATGGAGCCTGGTTGATAGATTACCATTAACGTCTTTTTTAAGTAACAAAAACATTGATAAAGTGTATGTCTATATATCCATACAATCAAACTAAAGGATAACAATTGAAAATAAAATTTTAAATTAATTTCTGGATTTTACGAAAACAGAATTTTTAGAGATTTTTAGAGGCCCATGATGGCTTATCTCAATATTCGTAATGTTTCCATGATAACGAACTGTATGAATTTAGCTCAAAGTACATTGTAACATTACAAATTGGAATCGGGGCAAACATGGATCTACAAAATATCAGATGTGGGATCAGGTGCCACGGTGGAATAAGAACCCCTATCGACAGTTCACTCCAATCGTCCAGATCAAGGTAAAAGAAAAAAATCCGTATAAAATTTAATTTAAATGAAATACATGGATATAAAGAACAGCATTCAAGCCCAAAGTCCATTAAACAATAAAAAATGGAAGCAGAGCAAAAACGAACCGCTCAATCATCAGAGGGGGATCAGGTGATATAATGGCTAAACAAATGGTATGAAAAACTCAGTTTGCATCTTTTTGTTTTACTTAATAATAGAATGCAGTTGCTGACAAGGTTAGCTTGCGAAGCGATGACTTTAAATGGGACTGTTTACATCCTTCTTTTATCAAATTGTTTGCCTTGCCTTTTTATGTAAATTGCTTTTTTATCAATCGGGAGACATAAACCCCAAATGAAGGTGAAAGGGGTACATTGCCACGGAATAAACGGAAGACCGGGGTCACCACGTTTGTTATCTCCATAATCCATTCATGTTAGGAGTTGTCACCGTTTAATGAGAAAAAAAAAGAAATTTAATAGCAATAAGTCTATATGTCTTGTATCTTATAGAAACTTTTATACAATACATGTACATTAACAGAAATCTTTTTGCTATTTTTTTAAAGATTGATATGATCTGGAATCCGTAGCAAAAAATGAAATAATTCCGGTGAAATATGACTTTATTTACCCGTAACATATGGGGAACTATAAAATAAAATAGCGTACGGGTAAAAAAATATATCATGACATGGGTTAAACTGGATATGGAAGAAAAATAATAAAAAAGATCAATATTGTAAAATGATAATTCTAAATTAGATAAATAAAAACAAATTGGTTATAAAGATACACCTCTCAGCTTACAATTTCTTGTTTATCACAGATAATTGGAGGAATAAACACACTCCGGTCTTTGATTCCGGTTAAAAAGAAACTCAGAGTGATCCTTTAAAACAAACAAACAAACAAACAAAATTAACTTTATTAATGTCACTAGTAATAAGGTGTCACGAAGGACTTTTGTTGTAGTGTCAAGAAGAATATGAACACAAAAGGGGATTATGATTCAGGTATCTGTTATATGTA